ATTCCTCAACATCTAGACTCCTAGTAATAACCACTCTTATTTCTTCCATATCTACCCATGGTTTATGTGCTACTACACACTTAAAATTCACCACCTTGATAATGTGAATTTTTCTTCCACCTTAAGAAGGCCCTTGTTATTTCTTCCTCCTATTCTTTTCCCCAAGAAGGATGTTTCATTAAGTAACAGTTAAATATTGTATCTTTACACCACATAATGTGTCTATATGTATGTATATACTATATAATCTCTTTTTAGTAGGACAGAATATAATTGTATAATAATAGCTAGCACCGGGGCACCTGGGTGGCTCAGTTGGTTAAGCGACTGCCTTCGGCTCAGGTCGTGATCCTGGAGTCCCTGGATCGAGTCCCGCATCGGGCTCCCTGCTCGGCAGGGAGTCTGCTTCTCCCTCTGACCCTCCCCCCTCTCATGTGCTCTCTCTCATTCTCTCTCTCAAATAAATAAATAAAATCTTTAAAAAAAAATAATAGCTAGCACAAATATAGCACTTGCTTTGAGCCAGGCATTCAGTGAAGATGGTACTATTATTAACCCCACATCCAAATGATAAAATTAAGGTCAAAACATCTAGTAAAGGCCAAACATCTAGTAAATGGCCAAACATCTAGTAAATCATTTTCTTGGGAGTAAAATCCAGGTGCTTTGGCTCTAGAGTGTGTTCCTCAGCATTATGCTGCATTGGGTATGTTTCAGTATATCATCAGGTTTTCCTACAAAAACCAACCACTTTCTGTTTATTTGGGGGGAAATCAAGGTGAAATGAAGAGCATAGACTTTGAAATTAGACAGACATTGGGTTCAAATCCTGAATATGATTTTTAATAGCTCCAAACAATGGGAATATTATTCAACTTTCTGAACATCTGTATATTCAGCTGCAAAACAGGGATGGTTATACTTTATAAGGTGGTGGCAAAGATGAAATTAAACTATATAGATCAAGAGATAGAACCTGGCACTGTTTTGCCAATTACCTGAAATATTGCAGACACCTAAGATCAGTGAGGAGAGATGAATTATTCAATAAATTATGTTTGATCAATGTCCTAATCAATTAAGGATTTTAAAAAATCATACTATACCAAACTTTTAGGTGGATTAAAAATGTCCATATAATTTTTAAAATACTAGAAGTAAAAGACTAAGACAATGACAAGACCATAAACATAAAAAGGAAAAGAACAATCCATCCACTTAACTAGATAAAAACATAAAATGTTTGTTTATCAAAAGGCAAAATTTTTTAAATTACCTATAAGAGGGAAAGTTATACATAACACACTCAAGAGATAAAAATTTAATGTATTTAATTTGTGATGAGGTCTTTCAAATCCAAAAGGAAAAGACCAACTCCCAATTGAAAATAAAGAAAGCTCATGACTGACTAATTTACAAGAGAAGAAATGAAAATGATTCAGTCAACATATAAAAAGAGGCTCAATGTCAGCTAAAAAAAATGTGAATTTAAAAGACCTCTTTTTCATATTTCAGATCACTGAAATTTAAAACCATAAATAATATCCAGTGTTGTAATGACCAGTGGAAAATATTCTTTATCAAGCATTGTTTAGGACAACTGTAAACTGACCTAGCATTTTTGAAAGATGATGTAGAAAAATACACCAGAATTTATCATATGCAACCTCACTTACACAGAAATCCCACTTCTAAGTATTTAGTCCAAGGAATCACAAAATGCTTTATGAACTAAGATTCACATTATGGCAATCTAATAATATAAAAACTAGAAAATAAATTAAATTACCATTAATATGGCACTTGTTCAATAAATATTTTTATATGTATCTTTTTAAAAAATAAAGTAGAACTCTGCCATGGAAGATGCTCATAGTATATTAAGTAGAGACATAGGTGGCTGAACAGTATTTAAATATATATGTTATGATACCATTTATATATGAAGATATATGCTTCATTATATATCCATAAACAAAACTTACATATTCTTTTTATGTGTCTATTGTTTTAATTTCTAATGATGATACTTAGAAAAATAAATGTACTTCCATTTTGAAAAGTTAATTATGAATTTAGTTTCTCTCTTGTTTATGTTGGGTTTAAGTGTATATGTACAAATATTTTTAAGAAAAAGTTATGAGTTTAAATGTAACTCAGATTCTGAGGAGTTAGTTAATATTTATCTCTTTACTGTTTATGTTTTGGTGTTAAAAGTTTATGTTGAAATATTTTAAGAAACTTCAAATACTTTCATTAATCTACTCTATAACTCCTTCCATGGGTGCCTAGGTGGCTCAGTCAGTTAAGCAGCTGACTCTTGATTTGGGCTCAGGTCAATATTTGAGGGTCCTGGGATGGAGCCCTGCATCTGGCTCCATGCTCAGCGTGGAGTCTGCTTGATATTCTCTCTCTCCCTCTGTCCCTTTCCCCACTCTCTCTCTCTCTCAAATAAATAAATAAATCTTTTTTAAAAATAAAAATAATAATAGTCCTTCCAACCAGAACTGCCATTTTGCTTGTGCTATAACCATACAAAGGAAGAGGCAGAAAATGTTCTAGCTTTTCATATCCTAGAGTTTCTCAATCTCAATCTCTTCAAATTGTAAAGTCTGCTTTGAAATTTTTGACTATATGTGTGTATTTTGTGGTGATTACATATGTGTGTGCTTCTGTATATCTTGTATGTGCAAAAGATATTAAGAGAGGATATATGAAAAATGCAATACATAGAGTGCATTTAAAATGAAGTAAATATTTAAGTTTTATCATTTGCAGATAGTAGTATGGATTATAAAAAGGCTTTAATCACATGATCGCAACCACTGTAGGCTCAATGTAAACATCAGCAGCATCGCCTCTAAAGTCAAGTTTATAGGGTAATTACATTTCTGAAATGCAGGATCCAATGTACTGTTAGACTAAAATTCAAATTTTGATCAATGGATTTCAGGCAAAAATTGTTTGTTCTAAGATGTTACAAATTTAAAAATATGCTAATGCTTAGTTTTATACTAAAGCGCCATAAAACTGTGTTTCTCCTAACTGCTTCATTTCTTCTCCAAACTGAAAAGTCAACTCTAAGTGTACAGAAAAAGAAAATATATTCATGGTCTGAAAAAGGGCTAAATCAGTCTAACAGGCATAACACTGAAAACTGAAAAAACATGTTAGATTTTTAGTTTATTGTTATCATTTACTTTTTTGGTTGCATGAAAAGTTTAGAAGTCTTAAAGAAGTATGGAATAGTTATATACTTTTTCCCTATCTTGCTTTTTTAACATTTAATTTCTTTCTGCATTTTCTTCTTCCCATTTGCCTTTTTATTGAGTTTACAAAAGATAAAAGAAGTAAATGAGGGTTTGTAAAATGATTAAATGGGTCAAAGAGGAATGTGTTTCTCTGATTCTTTTATTTTTTTTCTTTCGTTTTCTTGTTTTTAGAGTTAAATCTTATCTTTGAAAGGTAGGAGAACTATTGTTTTATTTTTGTTTTGTTTTATTTTGTTTTTTGAAGGAAGTAGGAGAAAAGGAGAAGATAACCCTGACTTAGGGAAATAGTTATAAATTTGTGTTGAAGAAGATTCTATTTTACTTCTGTGAATAATCTATTTTGTCTGGGGCATGTACAAACATACATATAGTAATGTGGGGTAAGAAGCCTAAGTATTAGAAAAAAAGAAGAACAAGCTTTCTGTCAGAAATCAGAAAGGTATAAGACCATGGAAATAATCCAGGCTAAATAAAAAGATAAATATCATTCAATGAGAACATGCATATTTTGATATATAATAAGATTTTATATTTCTTGATTTTATGTGGAACCGAAGAATGAGTTTACCCAAAACAAACAAACAAAAAAAACTCATGTTGCAATAGATCTTTTCTCTGGAAAGTATTTTTAAGGGTCCAAAACAGCTAACATGTGATTTCCTCACAAATTATATTTTATGAATACCGCTATCCTGAGCTGCCTTAAACACTTTCTGGAACAAGGTGGGTTACTCATAAATAAATTAATTCACTATTTAACTTAGTAAACTTAAATTGCATAGGCCTCTTAAGAGTTCATATTTTTTAAAAATGTCCTTTACTATTCACTCACACACGTACAAAATGAACTCAATCACTATGTATATATGCTTATTCCCATGGTAAGACCAAACAAATAAGAAGACATCTCAACAGCAAATTGTTTCTTAGGGTTTGATTTTTAAAAGGACTGATTCACCATGACCACAATAAGTATATGTATTTGTAACAGATAACTTAAATTCTGAGTCTTTTTATTTGATATTTATCATAAGTCAAACACATGCTTAGCAGTGGCACTTGTAGATGGAGAAGAAAATAGTACTTAGTAGAACAGAAGAGTTAAATATTATTTGTTGAAATATCAAAGTATAAGATAGGAAGGGCATAGCTATGTACCCATGAAAACATCATTTGTTTCTGAGCAACAAAGAAATGATGGAGTGAATCGGTAAGTGGCAAAATAAATAAAGAAACCACGAAAATGCCTACAAAAATGCATTCATGAAATGAACTTTCTTCTTGAACAGCAAACTTCTTGAACAGCATTTTTTACACATTTCAGAGCACATCTGCATTTTTTTCCACCACCCCCCAAATGACACTCTGTTATCCTATGTTATTCACTGAAACCAAAAAGCAAACAGAAAATTCAATAGGGTGAATTGCCACAAACTGACCCAGGATGCTTATTACATATTTAGATTCCCAGGTTCCACTTACACTTATTGAACCTTAGTCTCTACAGGAAGTTTCTTGCAAGTGGGCAAGATTTGCAAGCATGCAGTATGTTATAAAAACATGCAATAAGTTGTAAAAATTCACCCATGCTGATTAACGGCCCCCCCTTCTAAGAGTTGAGAAAAAGAGGGAACAGGTCTGACTCAGTTATGTTTAACTGTTTGGTCCAGTGTAGAATGGGAGAAAATGTTCAAAGTTTCTGTTTTAATGTCCGAATAATGTACTTACTACAGTTTTCAGCTTTCCTATTGTCCCGGATCACTATTCTTTGGTTGATAGTGCTGAACAGTGTTGTCCAATTAATGGTATGATAATAACAGAGGTTGCTGTTGTCAGTAATATAGATGTTTCCTGCACTGATTTCCTTCAGAGATTGGAATTGTAGAGAAGTGATGCCCTGTTGCTTAAGGATAAGCAAGGAGAGGCCACTAAAGAGAAGGAAGGGAGGAAAATGGAACAATATTTAATATGTATATATTAATAAATATTTTCTGGCACATATTCTTGAAGTAAAATAAGGATGTCACATCTTACTCCAAAAGAATGCTAATAGAGCATAAAAAAAGGACTGAGTCAGTAAATTGTGATCTGAATATTATTTCTCTACATGCTATATATACTGAGTTTAAAAAGGAATCATTTGACCCCCAAAAAGAAAATGTTCATTTTTAGAGGTATAAATATTAATGATATCTCCATTTCTGTGTACATATTTACCACTGACATATCCGCTCACTATTTTTCCCACTATCCCCCAAGTCTCGAGTTCTTTAAGGATGAAATTCTGTTTTAAATAATTAGGGGAATCTGGCTGGCTCAGTTGGAGGAGCATGAGGCTCTTGATCCCGGGGTCATGAGTATGAGCCCCACATTGAGTGCAAAGATTACTTAAATAAATAAAACTTTAAAAAGCTAAATAATTCACAGCGCTCACCATAGCACATACCCTCCCCAATGTCTATCACCCAGCCACCCCAATGAATCATGGAACACTACATCAAAAACTAATGATGTAATGTATGGTGATTAACATAACATAATAAAATAAAATTTTAAAAAAGCTAAATAATTAATAAATGTTTACGGAATGATTATTCATCTACCTAAAGTAAGACAGTAATTCTACTCTATTTAATAAATTTAGACATGCTTTCAGAGGGTAAATATTACAGAGAATGACTACAGATATTTAGCTTTAATTTATACCTCAGAAACCAAAGTGTAACTGTAATAGTTGAAGAATGTATAAGTAAAGATAGGAGACATTAAAATTAAAGAGAAGAATGAAATTAAGCTAAAAGTTAAAAAAAAATACTCAGAAGGCTTGGACAACTGGGGAAAGCACCTCTAAAGGTTAAATAACAACTATACTGTGGAAACAAATTATCATTCCAAGGAAATTGTTTTTATTTTAACATAGTCTACATTTTGTAATTAAATTCCTTTTCTATTCTCTAAAGAATCATCTGTTTCACACATTTCAATCAACTAATGAACAATATTTTACATTTTGGAGATCAAAGCTGTCCCCTTTTATTTTATTTATAAATCTAAATATACTTTGCTGCCAACACTCAGAATTTTTTCCATGTGCTGTGTGTGTGTATATCTATATATATATACACAGATATATATATAAATACTCATATATATATACACACACATATACCTAAATATATACTTATATACATACATATACATACATACATATTAAAACTCTCTATAAAACTCAGTACATGTGTATTCAACTGAGATGTAATTCGTTCTCTGAAATCTGTGTTCCCATCATAACCATCTTGAGTTTATTACAATGTGAACATAATAATGCTTGACAGATTTTTAACATTTGATGCAATGGATAGTAAAATTTGGTTGCATGTAGAACTTGACAGACTGTATCTCTCAACTATGTCTTTTTATTAAGAACTTTTCCCCTTTACAGTTTAAAACCTCTTACAGATATACCTATTTTAATCACAAAATTCAGTGGACTTTCTGTGAAATATTATTATGGAATATTTGATGACAATATTGATTTAGGCATCTTTCAGATTTAAGTAGAAAAAATGAAATCTAAATCCTTTATGTAAATCAACTTTTAGCTGTTCATAAATAAGAATCTCATACAGATGAAATCTAAAATAAAATAAAGCAGTGGCTTAATAAATATTAACTCACACATTTTTATTATGTGAATTAAAATATTGATATTAGACTTTTAGTGTGCTTCTGAGCCCTGATTTTTCTGCCCACTGTTAGCCAGCATTTAACGTAGAGCAGTAGACCAAGTCCTGAAATATCAGCCCCATTATGCGTGGTTCAAATGATGGCACCAGAGACAAGAAACTTCTGGTAAAACAGCATTTGTATCCCACACACCTAAGCCATTATCAAGTCATCCCTATGTTAGTTGTTAGTTATGATAACATTATGTTCAAAAACAAAGGTTTGATTTTATGCACTCCATACATGCAAAACACTAAAACTGTTTTAAGTGAGAGGCAGTTGAAAAATCAAACTGTTTATTCTGCATACTTTACTTATTTATTTATTTTTGTATCCTGCATGCTTTAAAGCACAACCAGCGGTATGTTTCATTGGGCTTACCTTTGGAATAAAAAGTGGAAACCCAATATTTCTTGAATCAGTGAAGCTGAAACTTTGAGATATGTACACATGACACTAGTCTTAAAATCTGGAAGACCTGCATCTCTGAACATATATACCTACCTATAGAGTACTCTTCCACCGATGGTCACCAGGTTAGAAAAAACACTGAAGTCGGTCATGTTTGGGGGCCATGACTGTATGTTCAAGAAACCTAAAAAAGACAAGGGCAGTAAAAACACTCAGAATATCATTACCTTAGTAACTGTGTTTAATGCTGAGTATCCTTGAAATATGATAAAAATGTCTTGGAAGATAGGAGGTAAAAAAAAGACACTGAATATTCCTATTTCGAGTCATTCTATTCTATCTCAGAGTTCTTCTTCCAAGATTGAGTGTCTCACCCAAAGTTCCTGGGGCACAATACTCAATAGATAAAGAATACCAAAGTAATGAACACCAAAAATCTAGGTTTCTCAGACACACAGAACCATAGAACCATATATGTAAAAAGAATTAAATGATCCCTAGTTTGATTCATTCTTCTAAAATCAAAACTACTTAGTCTAATTACATAAAGAGAAAAATATAGCTTTAATTTTTCTGGAAATCCTTTACTACTGTATCTCTACACTTATGACATCATTTGTCTGCCTTGCAGCCTAATGCATTCATATATATACCTAAACTTTCTCATTTGATTTTTCATTCTTCAATAGCAAATCCATATCCAAGTCATGTCTATGAGACCCTTATCAGCCACTATATAACAGCCCTGAACATATTAGGTGCTCAATAAATATGTGCCAAATGAGTGTCACATGTTATCCGTGCTCAACAGTACTTCTTGTGAAAAAGTACATAGAAAAACATGGATCAAAAGATCAGTTGACACAAAAACAAAAACATAAAAATGTTAACGATATTTTATTTTATAAATTCCATGGGCTTTCAAAATGTGCACAAATGCTAAGGAATAAAGACACCCATCATTTAAAATGACATGCATTTTTAAAACTAGAATTTGCTTTGAAAATAAGTTGCTGATTTCAATATTATGTAATATTTTCAGGAAAACACTAAAATTCACATAGTTCATAGGACAAAAAACGCACTTAAAAAAAAAAATTACCTGTTATCTCTCTAACTGTCCGGAAGACATTCAGTTTCTCTGGGTCTATGGCTTCAATTGCATTGTAAGGGTCCCTAGAGAATCAAGAAGAGATGCAGCCAAGTTTTAAATCAGATAAAGTGAAAACATAAGAAATGTTACTATAGTTAGTTCATTCAAATTGAATTTTAAGTAGCAATGGAAAGATTAGCAATGCCTTGTCCAAAGTTTGTTATGCTACATGTGAAGGAGAATTAAAAGGTGCTTTGAGGACATTTATGATGATATCAAATATGACTTCTTCTTTGAAGGCTATTCGAATTCTAGAGGAATGGTCCAGTTTGACTATCCTAAAGAAACCTACAAACATGACAAGTCTATTTACAAATAATTTTATTTTATTTTGCCTTAAAATTTTTTTCTTAATTGGGAAAAGTATACACTGCAAATAATTATGGTGAGAACAATTGCCTTTGGGGCTCCTCAAAGCATCCTGAAGTGCTAATAACACCTACAATTTCATAAGGTGGATAAAAACAAGCACATGAAATCATTTTTTCTTTTTTGCTATATCCTTACATTTATTAGTAAATTCTCATAACATTGTATGAAAGTTACTCTTCATAAGGATTATTTAGAGCAATCTTGTTCCTATCTGGTTTATTTATATTTGCTTTTATAGCACAGGAAATATTCTTCCATCTTTATGAATCATACTAACATCTGAAACAAAATTTATAACAAACTTAATATCCAAAAGGTGTAATTTTTGGAGATTTAAAAAAATGTCATCTCCTAATGCATAAATATATTTTTGTAATTAATGTTATTGATATATAGATGCCCTATCTTCTCAAAAATGAACGTAAAGTACCTTTTAAAATTAAATATTTATTGGATTGTTTCAGAAGTTTTCTTCTTAGGAAGATACCTTTCATGTATAATATACTGACCATACCAAATAACTGCATACTTGCAAATAATACCAAACATTTCTCCGTAATCCAAGCAATATTTTCAGCTATTTTAAGGAATACCTTTCTTTTCTTTTAAGTTTTATTACTTTGAAAGATGACCTGTGCTATCCTGGGCAAATAGAGACCTCATACCAATATATACCCTATAGAGAAAAATTGAATACTATTCATTGACCACTTCTCCAAGAGAGAGCAAACCTAAGAACAATGAACTTGGGGTTTTTTTAGAAGCACGTATCCGTCCGTAGCAATCACCTGAACTGTATTATTGCTGTGGACATCTGTTGTTTTACATCTTTGAGAACCTTCTTTTTCACTTGGGGAGTAAACAATAGGATACAGTGATTCATTAGATGTGGCCTTAATAGGGCTATCAATCAAGGTGTTCCACAGCCCCCTGACAAACAGAAAGGCATAAGGCCTATCTTCTAGGAATTTGAGTCTGAACCCATTGGCATTAATTCATCCTTGCTTTAGAACCTTGAAAACACTATTAGTTCCAACAACCTTAATCTTTGGAACTCCATTTTACTGGCTCTCTCAACTTGGTTTATCTGCATATGCTTCTATACAGTGAACCATCCTGTATCTTAAAAAATACAAAAAACAAAAAAGAAAACAAAACAACAACAAAAACTCTGCTTGATTAAATACTGTTTCAGTCTATGAAGTATAATCGATACAATGTACCACTAGTTTAACAGGGAGTGTTTTAGAAGGCTTGGAGAAACACTATAAATGAGTTTCCCCATAATTCACACATAATTAAGATTTTCCTCAAAGTGATATGAATGTCTCTCAAAAGCTTAAAGTCCAAATTAAATGTTCTGGCAAATTTGCTCTATTTATAACTGATACATTGAATGAAATACTATGCTTTTGATGAACATGAAGCCAAGAAATTAAGTTCACCATGCGGGAAAAATCTTGTTGTTATCATTTTTTAATGTGCAAAGACTTTTGTATGCAGAGAAAATATCAGCTCTGCAGTAGTAGAATGAACTTTCAACATTTGTTGTTTGATGAAAAGCAGTGTATAGAACAGCTCTGGTCATATAATCAAATATCTTGGCTTTATTGAGAAACACTCACAATTCAGGGCAAGCACACAATAATAGGGTCAGTCTAAACCTTTACTGAGAACACTTCCAAGTTGCCAGGAATGAAATGAATTCTGGCCTGTTCATATGAAGCCCAATGGACCACAGAAATTTTATATACTTAATTTTAGAGATTCAGGACTCTCATAAAATAAGTTGACAGAATCCTACTTACCAACTTCAAAGTACCTGCAGGGAGTTGCATCCTATAGCCACTTGAAATCCATAGTACTTTAAAATTGAGAACTTCCCTAGCTAAATACAGAGCCATGTGAAAGAACTTTATGTCCACCCTGTCATTGTGTTTGGTGATCCAAAATAAAGCTCAGGATAGAGAGAAACTTTTTATAATTCTGTTGAAATCGCTTTATTTTTCACCAAATCCATTATCTCTTTTCCATTGTATATCATCATCACACTCTTATCTAAGCACTTTCTTGTCTGTGTCTCACTGCGACACAGCATGAACATGCTTATTGGGTGAGCATTTTGTTACTCTAAGTACACGCACATGACCATCATCAAACATGAGGAGAGATGAAAGGTGAACATTCCTATGAATAACCCTGAACACAGGTTTGCCTGTGGTTCCCATTCTTTTTTTTTTTTTTTTAAAGATTTTATTTATTTTTTAGAGAGCGAGTGAGAGAGAAACAGCATGAGAGGGGAGAGGGCCAGAGGGAGAAGCAGACTCCCCGCTGAGCCGGGAGCCCGATGTGGGACTCGATCCCAGGACCCCGGGATCATGACCTGAGCCGAAGGCAGACGCTTAACCATCTGAGCCACCCAGGCGCCCTGTGGTTCCCATTCTAAATAAAGAACTAAGAGTGCCTTCTGGCAATGACACCATTGTGTTATAAACTCAACATGACAATTAATTTTGTTGAGTTCTTTTATATACTAAAATTGTAATTGACAAATTTACAGTAAGTTTATTTTTTGCAGAAACTTGTTTTTGAAAAGTATAATCTCATCTAATTATGAATTTTACCTATTAGCTTAAAGAAATACCTTAGCTATTTTACTCAAACCATACATCCTATTAAAAAATAGTAGAAGATCGAGGGTAATAGGAATTAAGTGAAGTAAAACATGTCTTTAATTTACTAGAAGTTTTTTGCTTATAATACTTCATGCTACTCACATTTAAAATCTCTCTCCATACATGTATGAATTGTATACATGAAAACACATAATGCCTATGCATTTATAAGATGTCTTAGACTTACTGAATTAACTTTTTATCAAAACTTTCCTAAGATCAAGAGAAAGGCTTCAGAATATATATTTTATACTGGCATAAAATTGGGAATGAGAAATACCATACATAACATATATATTTGTCCTGGAAAATGCCTTATATATTATGGTTGAGACACAATAACATTAATTATAATGTTAGTATTAAAATATTCCAAGTTAGGTGCTATGATTAAGAAGAAATAATAATCTTCTGGACTAAGGAAGGAGTATGAGTTATCATAAAGGAAATATTGCCATAAAAATAACTTTGCCTTTATTTGGTTTTCAGTAGTCTACAAAATAATACCTGTTAGACTGCATGTTGTGCTATAACTAGATATAGTCATTGAGATTTTTCTTTAGCACTGCCTCCTCCTTCTTTGCTTTTTTTTATTCGCTCTCTCCCTTTTTTCTCTCCCTCCTTTTTTCCCCCTGCCTCTTTTTTTTTTTGTACCATTTATTAATGTTTTACAATATGCCAGGTACTTGGCTGAGCACTTAAAAATAATTTTTGTTTTTAATCCCTATAATAATCACAGAAGGTTGATATTTATTATAAACCCAATTCTCAACTTTACACTGGAAAAAACTGAGCATTTGACATGTAATAGAAATTGTCTATGTCAGAGCCTCAAATCAAACTCTAGTATAGTCTGGATCAAATTACTGAAGTAGGAACTTTAACTCTTACTTTCTGAGCTCATGTTTAAGAGAGGCTTTGTTTACCTTTCTGTTTCTAATCATCTGAGTCAATTTTCTATAATTCACTGCCACCTGGATGAATTGGCAAGGTTGTTTTCCTTGAAAGTCTGGATTAATCTAATACTTTGTAATGATTCTTCTCATAAATTTGTGAATATATGGTATCTATTGTGCAATGTATTATTATATCTTGACATATCTGCTTCCCTTTTTTGCATTTATTTATTGATATTTCCTCTATTCTGGACATTAGGTGATTCAGAATATGTAAAACCATTTTACAATTAGTATAAATCCTGACTTTTGATAAATATGCTCCATAAGGAACCAAGACTAAAATAAGAATTCTGAACTGCACTCTTGATCGTCTTTGTCAAACTTCCCCACCCATGGTTTACCTACAAGATTAACCATCAGTGGGTTGCTTTTGTTGGTTCATAATCCTTCTACTATCACAGAATTCTTGCAGTGGTTCTCAATGGGGGCAGTATTACCCCACTAAGGGGAAGCTGGGATATTTGCAGAGGCATGTCTGTTGTAACAGAGACTGGGGGACATTATAGGCTTTTAGTAATAACCCCAAGCCAAGAAAATTAAATGTCTTTCCCAGCAAAGGTTTGCCTCATGTCTTGAACAACCTTAAATGTCCCATCCAATTAAGGACCCATGTGCACAAACTTCATAGTTGATCATACCATGACTGTGTGTAATTCTGCAATCAGGTGCCTCTATTTGAATGATTTATTTCTGTCTTCCTCTTGTCATATAACAATATGTCTGTTACTTATTTCCTATTCCAGTGGTCAGCCATTCCTCTACTCTTTATTTCCCCATACTTCTTGCACAGAATAACTTCTAATCTTACGTCTCACAAATCCAAACTTTCATTATAAGTAAGTAGAAGCTGAGCATTTTCCTATCAATACATATTTTATTATCCATTAATTTTCTTGTATTTTTTCTTTAAGTTATAAGTAGAGAATTAGAATCACATTATAAAATTATGTATATAGGTAGGCTATATTACCTATGATTTTTATTTCATAATTCAAAAGGAAGTATGAATACACAATTTATAAAAGATGGATATTGGGTCTGATTAGAATGAAAACAACTTCTCTAATGCAATTTATGAGACTATGTTTTCAAATCTTTCCCCACACTGATGGACTTGAGGCCAATTCATTTATTATACCCATGTGGAAGCAGGCAATGTGAATTAAGTGGGTATGTCTTCCTATTTCTCAGAAGATGCTGTTAACATGATATGATCTTTCATTCATGGTGGTATTTGGTTTTGAAAATAGTTACAGTGTGGATATATTGTTTTAGTAAATGTCATATATGCATTTGATTATATAGATGCACCTAATGTTGACCCAGGTCTCCTACCATTTGGGGCCAAGGAGGTGAGAACAGCAATGTAAATAAATTTAGAGGGTTAGTAGTGACTCTGGTAAATTTGGTTGTCCTATCTCAAAATGGCTAGAAGTTCCTGGCTCTAAAAGATTGTTGCCATGTAGGAGTATGTGCTAAGGGTAACCAAATCTACATATTTTTAAAGAGAAGTTAGAAATCTTGACCATATATTTATTTTTTAAGCACTGCTTGGGCGGAATAAAACAGATCTGGGGCAGAAAGTGTGTACACACCATTATAGTATCTGGCATGAACCCCTATTAAAAGCTACATTTTAAAGTAAAGAAATGCTTTATGCAATAAGACCTACCGTAATTTATTTGCATGGAAAGAAACACTTTGTTCTATTTCTCTTGCTGTTCCTATTTGGACATATTTATTCATAATGTGTTAAATTATTTTGCTTCTAGAAATGATGTGATATATGTTTCGAGTTAGGATTTTGAATTGAAATATGTGAGTAATATTCTTTATCTGTAGCCTGTAGCACTAATATTTAGGGATTAAGAGTAATATAGATAAACAGATAAAATATAAAGTAAAAATATAGACATTTTTATTACAATTGAAAGAATACAAACTTGGCTGTTTTCCCAGTTAAAACCAGCAGGTGGTTCTGTAATGAAGGAACCCAGAAAATGTTACAATTTTTATTGCTAAAATGAAATTCATTTATTAGATCTCCTATATTAGTACTAATTTCCTAACCTAACTAAAAGAGGAAAAGATAGATACATCAGGCCAAAGAAAATTTCTGAAAGCTCAAGAGAATTTCAACTTACTGATTTGTTCTCTACGAGATACATTTTAAAAGGAATATTAATTTGTTTTCCTGAACTAATCAGTTAGGAATTTGAATCAAATTCCTCACTTCACATTGACACGGTTTCCCTAAACATATCTAAAAATATGTCAAGCTTTCTGAAATCTGTGGATTTGAGGATATCCCACAAATACATTTTAGTTTATATATGAATTTATATTGTCACATCTAAGTAGTTACTAAACCCATAGTCTATGTATCTCAAAACTGTGGTTTTTATTATCATTGCTGGTAAAATCTGCCATTTGATTTTGTTGGAGAAGAGCATTAACGAAGGGCAGAACTCATCTAGGTCAAAAGGAATCAGACAGACACAGCTAAAGAATCTCTTAAGCTTTGTCTATACTTCGTAAAATAATTTTCTACAAAAATTTCATACTGACCCATGAATACCGGTGACAAGGAAGATCAAATTCCCATTGATTTTGGTGCAGTTTATGAATTTGTCAATGTTACTGGAATCCACGGTCTGAGCTGACATCAGTGATCCTGTGCCAATACCGTCACAAGCTGTAGAAATAAGACTCCAAGTCAGGGTGTTGAGAAACTTCTTTTCCGGTCAATAAATTATTGCATTTTTATTATAAAATAATAGTATTTTTTCACTATAAAAATGAAAAGAGTTCATCATAAGAAATAAACAGTTTTCTAACAAATAAAATAATACTTTATTCGTGCAACATTAACTGCTGGGCCTGCTTTAAAATATTTTCCCTGCATGATCGCCTAGTGACCATGACGCATAAAAATCATATCTTATACCAAGTCCCAGGATACCCACACAACACATACGTAACTAAAACAAAACTTACAACAATCAGTACTTGCCTTTGCCACATAAAATCAACTATTTTCTCATCCACCCTAAAATATCATTTTCAAGACTTAAATCCCGGTCACTTGAGTAAAATCATTTCATAGCCTAATGATGGTCTACAAACTATGGTTTTAAAAACATTGTTCTGGGCGCCTGGGTGGCTCAGTTGGTTAAGCGACTGTCTTCGGCTCAGGTCATGATCCTGGAGTCCCGGGATCGAGACCCATGTCGGACTCCCTGCTCAGCAGGGAGTCTGCCTCTCTCTCTGACCCTCCCCCCTCTCATGCTCTCTATCTCATTCTCTCTCTCAAATAAATAAATA